AATGCCCAGTAAATAACATAATCTGTATCCCCTTATCTGACCATTAAAATACAAATTAGTGCAATACTATTAGTGTAACAACTAAAGCTGTTAACTTTGAAATATCAATCAACAATTTCTCATACTAAATTCTATGTAATTTGATTTGTTGATATCTTTTTCATCATTTCATATTTTCTATTTTACACATTCTGCAATTTTGAAAATCTTTCTCACATTTACTGCAGATGCAATCATTATTCACTCTGAAATAAAAATATAATTTTTTATAGATAACTTTTAATTCTTTAATACTTTTTTTAATTAATTGACTGATTTTTTTTTATTAATCAGTATAAAAATAAATGTAAAATAAAAACAATCTGTCAATGAATTTCTTATAAACATTTCATTTTTAAAAAATATTAAATTCAAATTTATGAAATCTTTTTATTGCTTTTCAGTTGCTAATCTATTCAATGATATTGATTCACAGAATTTATACATTTTATTCTCTCTTTATATTTTAAAATGTGATATTTAAAATGTTGTTTGTTCTATCAATGTCTATATAAAGATGCAGATAATGTCAATAAAAATGAAAAATTCTGAATAAATTCAGTTCTTCAAATTAAATATTGTAAATATTTTCAATTGATTTCTGCTGTCTCTATCAATAACTGTATTAGATTTAGAAAAATTTGATAAAAAATTGAGAGAGATATTTAATAAATGATATTTTAACATCTGTTGAAGCAAATTCTTAACATTTTATTAAATAATTTTATCAAATCTCAATGAAATCTGCTCAAATTCTAACAGATGATAGATTTATTTTATATTGATAATTTATCAAAATTTTATTCAATTTACTTTATAGTTATTTGAATTATTCTTGATTCTTTTTTTTGAGAAAACTCTGATTAATGTTCATATTTTAACACATTCATATCAAGTTTTCTCTGAGTATCTCTCAGTCACACAGATCTGTCAAGTGATAAAAAAATATCTCAGCACAATTGATTAATATATATTTCATCAATTCAAATTCTTGAATTTCTTATTTGATGTTCGATTATCAATTCTCTTCCACTCTCTTGAAATCAAATATTAGTGAAAATATCAATATTTGAAAGATAGCTTAATCTCTGCAAGTAGTTTATATATATATATATATATATTATTATTATTATAAAGAAAAAAAGTGCAAGTTTAATCTGTTGATTCTTTATTTACGTACTCATTTTTTTAAAAACTCAATAATCAATTTATTGAAAGTTATTCAGTAAAATAAAATATTTCAATTTGAATGAAAGAGAATTCATTTAATATTGAAAGTTTTTAATATTTCAGAAATATAATCTTAGACTGAGATGAGATCTAATTTAAACAGATGTTTTGAAAAATCTTTTATAAAAAAAAAATAAAATTTGAAAAAGATAAAATGTTTTCTCTATTTTAACTCTGAATAATGATATCAAACGACGGGATTTGGAAATATTGAAATTTTAAAAGGAAAAAGGTCTTTACTTTTATATAAATACACTGAAAACGATAGCGAACGATAGCCCTGATCGCAGGGAATCTCACGACACCCAGCAATCCCCAGTTGAGGTGGTGCTGGTGCCATGGTTGTGATGGAGGAAATCGTGGGACGCGCTGACGGACGCCCGCGAGAAGAAAACTCTGACAAGAGGCAGCAGCCCACCACATGTGGAGCAATATTGACACAGTTGAGCAATGTTCTTTGCAATGGGAGCGAAGATCCTGCCATCAACGGCAAAGGGAAGGAGGTAGTGGAGGAGGCAGCCAGGTTGGTGAGGGAGTTGAAGGTCAAACTGGGGGAGGTGATGCTGGCCAAGGTGGAAGACGCGACCGTGGCGACACGCGCACAACGCCAACCCGAAGGAGTGAAAGAAGCCAAACTGTCATCATGGGCCAAGGTCGCAGGACAGGGAATTCCAGAAAAACCAGTGCCTAACCGAACCCTCCGCGAGATTACTGTCCTACGCCGGGACTGCGAAGCCCTCCCAGCTGAGGAGGCCACCCCCCCAGCGATTGTGGCAGCCGTCAACGCCAGAATTATGGATGTGACAAAGGGAAAGGTGCTTGCAGCAAGATGTCTCCCCAGTGGAGACATCATCCTGACAACCGACGCGAGGGAGACCAGGGAGGCCTTGACTAAGAGCAGCACATGGCTGGAAGTCTTGGGACAAAAGGCGAAGGCAAAGCACACCCTGTACCCAGTCATGGTTAAGGGAGTCCCAATGGGCAACACCAACTGGAAGGAGGAACAGCAAGCCATCAAGGCAATTTACGCACAGAATGAAGGACTCCGAAGAGGGGTACAAATTGAGAGACTGTCTCTACGACGGAATGCCAGCTTGCAGGCAAAGGTTGGGTCTCTTGTACTCAGCGTCACCTCGCCTCAGCAAGCCAACCTACTAGTAGACAATGGATTGATAATAGACAGCATATTTTGTGACGTTGAAATCTTCCACCGGGAAGCGCAGGTCACCCGGTGCTTTAACTGCCATGAGTATGGGCATACGGCCAGATTCTGCAGGCAGGCCAAAAGGTGCGGGTTCTGCGCGGCAAAAGAACATGACGACAAGGAATGCCCAGCACGAAAAGCTGGGGAACAACCGAGGTGCGCAAATTGTAGGGGAACACACCCAGCCTGGGTCTCTAAGTGCCCTGAGAGGGAGAGGGCATCAAGCAGGGCCCGTACAGCATACATGGAAAGACCCCGTAGGTTTATGGAGCCAAAAGCACAAGATGGGTGGCAGGTGGTGCAAACCAGAGGAAATAAAAGGTTACCCACTGGGGAACCAGAGGGCCAAAGAAGAGGACCAGGCCGACCCAAGGGGATTCTGCAAGCAGGCGAAGCCCAGAGAGGAGCTCTAAGTGCCTTTATAGCACCACAGAGCTCACAACCTGGGTCTCAGCTACAGGAGGACCTAATGGACTACACGCAGACCCCAGCCCCCACGCAACAATGAGGGACACACTAAACCTCCTACAATATAACGTGCACAACTCTGCGAGAGTTATGGGTGCGTTATTGGCAGACCCTGCAACAGAAGACAAATACGACGTAATTGCAGTACAAGAGCCCAGCCGGAATCCCCACATGCTAGCAACACACTGCCCCAGAAGCTGCGGCTTCTGGCCAGCATATCACCCGGAAACACACCCAAGAGTATGCTTTCTGGTCAACAAAAGGCTCGTGGAACACACATGGGAATGCCACTACCACTCAGAATACATTGCAGTGCTGACAATCACCACCGACCTGGGTAAGGTGCAATTAGTCAATGT